TATATATATATGTATATATATATACATATGTATATGTATATATATATACATATATATATATATATTTTTTTTTTGGTACCGGGGATGGAACTCAGGACCTTGTGCTTTCGAGGCAGGTGGTGGAACCACTGAGCTAAATCCCTGGCCCCTCCACGAGGTAATTTTAAGAGGTGTGGAGACAGGATTTTAAATAATGTTGAGTCACATGATGAGAAGTCTTTCAATTGTCTTTGAATCCTTATAGTCTTTCAAGTTTCTTCTTTTGGTCTGTTTGGCCTTTGTCTTTCGTTTTTATTCATTAAGTAAAAGTATCCATTAAATATTTATTGAACATTTCTGTGTGGCTTGGCCCATATGAGTGAACATATGGAGACACCAGTCCTTGGCCATTTAGAGTTTAGCTGATAGCTGAGGAAGACTGAAAATAAACCACAAACATCATATTATAAGAAAATATTATGTTAGAGGGAGGCATGTGCTAAGAAAAAAGAAAAGAAGGAGAGCCTTATAAGAGGGCTTGAGTTATGGTGTGTCACGCTGTGAAATGGAGTGGTTGTTGTGAGCCACACTGAGGAGGCAGCACTTGAACAAAGGCTTGAGGCGAAGGAGTTGGCCACGTGCACTTGTAGAGAAAAAGCTCTTGGAGAACCAAGGAAGCCAGGGGTAAGGACCCCAGGTGGGAACCTGCTTGGGGCCCAGCAGGAGGTCAGGACAGGAGAGGAGGCTACCGGTGGGGAGAGGCAGGAGGCCAAGACAGAGAGTTATGGATGCCAGTCATTAAGCCCCAGGCCACTGTGAGGGCTCTGTCTTTTTCTCTGAGGGAATCGGAAAGTCGTTGTAGAGTTTAGGCAGAGGAGTAACCTGATCTTATGTGTCCAAATGGTCACAGTGTCTGCACTGTGCCGAGAGTAGTCTGCATGGAGTCATTAGTAGAAGCAGGGTTCAGTGAGATGGCCACTGCAGTGGTCCAGACGGGAGACTCAGTGGCTGGAGCCAGGGAGACAGCACAGGAGGTGAGGAGGGATCATCAGGTTTGGGTGTATTTTGGGGGTAGAATGATTGGAAAAGACCCACCTACATTATGGAGAGTGATCTACTTTATTTGTTTAAAAATTAATCACATCTAAAAAAAATACCTTTTCAGCAACAGTTAGACGGGTGTTTGACTAGAGAGCACCGTAGCCCTGGCAAGTTGACACATAAAATTAACCATTATAAAGTTGTTTCTCGTTTTGGGCTATTATAAATAAAGCTACTTGCTGTGAACACTTGTGTTATAGGCCTTTCTACAGGCATGTGATTTCATTGGGTAAATACTTACAGGCAGTGACAGAGTTAAATAAATCCCTTCCAAACTGTTTTTCAGAGTGGTTGTACCATTTTACATTCCCACTGGCCACACATGAGAGTTCTAGTTGCTCTCATATCCTCATGGGACTATGTGTCTTCTACTTGGTAGGGCTCGGTTTGAGTTTGCATTTCACTGGTGACTGATGATGCCCCTCGCCTTGACCACACTGTTCTCTTTCCTTGCAGGTTATTTTGCTTTTCAGGTTGGAAGGGCAAGATTCAAATGCAAGGTGATCCCCCCGGCAGTCACTGGGTCCCTGGAGTTTGAAAGAGTGTTTCGTGCACAGTAAGTAGTGTGTCTCCCACCCTCAGGATCCGTGCCTGCCACAGACACACAATTTCTAATTGGGGGAAGAGTTCTATGAAGACCCGAAGGTGCTTGGTGATATCCAGCCATAACTATCACCCTTCCCAGCCAAGACCTGCTCATGGCCCTAGTAGCTAGAAGCATCCAGTGTGTGGAGTCTCTACCCAGCTTTGTCATGGATACAGCAGGGTGTATTTACCTCAAAGGCTGAGATCTTAGCAAAAACTTCTGCATCTCTCAAGCAGGGCAACTTGGGCCCAGACCCCTCCAGCATCATAAGAGTGCAGTCGATTTAAGTGGATTTAATGATTCTATAAATTTTTTTATCTTTTCTGTCTTTATTTCTCCCTGTCTACTTCAAGGCAAAAGTGATCAATATGCCCTCTCCCCATTTCTCCACAAATCATTTGCCAAAATTGGAAACGTGGAAGAATGAGAAATCTCTCCAGGTCTCAAGGTCCGCAGTGTTTTCGATCATCTTGTGCTCCTTGCTTTTTAGATCCACAGAGAATGTTCTGCCATAAACACCGTGGATTTGCCTGCTGCAAGGTGTTAGGGTTCCCTCTATATTTTGTCCCCAAAATTAAGTACCTTAAAAAACATTGCATGTATCACCATTTCTACCTTGATGGGTACTTTTATTACTATTTTGGGATTTTTCCTTTATGTCCATGCATGAGGTTGGCCTGTAGTTTACCTCTCTTGTACGGTCTGTGTCCCATTGTGGTATCAAGGTGATACTAGTTTCAAATGAGGCAGAAGAGTCACCCTGTTCTATTTTCTCAGATAATTTTAATTGGATTGAAAGAGTATGTTCCTTCAAATTTGTGTAAACTTGGCTTCAAACTATCTGGACCTGGTGTTTTTCTTGTGGAAAAACTTTGGACTATGAGATTTTCCTTAATGATTATTGGACAATGCTGTTTTTTTTTTCCCTCTTGACTTTAGTTTTGGCAAGTCATGACTTTGAGCTGTCATCATTAGTGTCTTATACATTCACTGGCCCCAGACTATTCTCTGGGTGAATACTATTGTTAGTTCACGAGATTATATATATATATGTATATATGTATATATATATGTATATATATATATATATATATATATATATATATATATATATATATATATATATATATATATATATATATATATTTTTTTTTTGGTACCGGGGATGGAACTCAGGACCTTGTGCTTTCGAGGCAGGTGGTGGAACCACTGAGCTAAATCCCTGGCCCCTCCACGAGGTAATTTTAAGAGGTGTGGAGACAGGATTTTAAATAATGTTGAGTCACATGATGAGAAGTCTTTCAATTGTCTTTGAATCCTTATAGTCTTTCAAGTTTCTTCTTTTGGTCTGTTTGGCCTTTGTCTTTCGTTTTTATTCATTAAGTAAAAGTATCCATTAAATATTTATTGAACATTTCTGTGTGGCTTGGCCCATATGAGTGAACATATGGAGACACCAGTCCTTGGCCATTTAGAGTTTAGCTGATAGCTGAGGAAGACTGAAAATAAACCACAAACATCATATTATAAGAAAATATTATGTTAGAGGGAGGCATGTGCTAAGAAAAAAGAAAAGAAGGAGAGCCTTATAAGAGGGCTTGAGTTATGGTGTGTCACGCTGTGAAATGGAGTGGTTGTTGTGAGCCACACTGAGGAGGCAGCACTTGAACAAAGGCTTGAGGCGAAGGAGTTGGCCACGTGCACTTGTAGAGAAAAAGCTCTTGGAGAACCAAGGAAGCCAGGGGTAAGGACCCCAGGTGGGAACCTGCTTGGGGCCCAGCAGGAGGTCAGGACAGGAGAGGAGGCTACCGGTGGGGAGAGGCAGGAGGCCAAGACAGAGAGTTATGGATGCCAGTCATTAAGCCCCAGGCCACTGTGAGGGCTCTGTCTTTTTCTCTGAGGGAATCGGAAAGTCGTTGTAGAGTTTAGGCAGAGGAGTAACCTGATCTTATGTGTCCAAATGGTCACAGTGTCTGCACTGTGCCGAGAGTAGTCTGCATGGAGTCATTAGTAGAAGCAGGGTTCAGTGAGATGGCCACTGCAGTGGTCCAGACGGGAGACTCAGTGGCTGGAGCCAGGGAGACAGCACAGGAGGTGAGGAGGGATCATCAGGTTTGGGTGTATTTTGGGGGTAGACCCAAAGAACTTCGTGACATAATGAATGTAGAATGTAAGAAGAGTCAAGAGTGGCTCTTGGGCTGGGGATTTAGCCCAGTGGTTCTGCCACCTGCCTTACAAGTGCAAGGTCCCGAGTTTGATCCCCGGTACCAAAAAAAAAAGAGTGGCTCTTGGGTTTGGGACCTGAGTAACCCAAACGATGGAAATACCATTAAGGGAGATGGATAATGCTACAGGAGGGGGGATTTTCAGGGAAATCAGGAGGTTCAGTTTTAACATGTTTGTGATATGACTTATGCTACAGCCAAGGTGTTTTAGTTACTTTTCTTGTTGCTGGGGCAAAATACCTGACACCCACAACTTATAGGAGGAAAGGTTTATTTCAGCTCATAGTTTGTAGAAGTTTCAGTCCATAGTCAGCTGGCTCCAAGGCCGAGTGGCATGGAAGAGGGGCACTGCAGAGAGGAAACAGTGCATGGCAGGGTATGCAATGAAGCAGCAAAGCAGCAACAGCCTGCCTTTTCCTTTTATCTTATTCAGGCTATAAACCTATTGGATGGTGCCACCCATACCCGGGTTGGGCTTTCCCATTATCCACACCCAGTACTATGCCAAACCAATCAGTGAACTAATTTAGTTATTATACCCCTAATCCATATTTACACAACCTTAATCCACATTCACACACCACAGATCCAGCCACCTCTGAAAAGTTCCACCTGTGAGCATGGGAGGCTTTGGGGAGACATGTAGATATGAGCGATAGCACCATGGGCTATAGGGCTATCATATTGTTTGTTATTATATCAAAAGCAGAGGAGCACACTGTTATTCACTCCTCCAAGCAGAAAAAGAGAGAGAGAGAGAGAGAGAGAGAGAGAGAGAGAGAAAGTGTGTAGGCTGTTGGATATACAAATCTGCATTTTAGGAGAGAGATATGAGCTGCAGATATAAATCTATCTTCATCAGAAAGATGTTTTACTTATTTTTCCTCTGTTTTGAGACAGGGTCTCACTATGTAGTTTAGGCTGACCTTGAACTCACTATGTAGCCCAGGCTCGCCTCGAACTCATGGCAATCCTCCTGCCTCAGCCTCCTGAGTGCTGAGATTACAGGCACCACACCCAGCAGGAAGGTGTTTTAAACCACGAGACTAGATGAGAACATAAGGGCATGGTGGGTGTAAGTAAAGAAGAAAGAGTGTCAAGGATGAACCTGGAATCTCTGGCATTGAGCATTCAGGATGATGACAAGGGGCAGCATAGTGAGCTGAGCAAAAGAGATTTTAGAGGCAGGTGGTCTTTGACTGGTTATCTGTGCAATTAAAAAAAATACACTGGAGGGCCAGGGATTTAGCTCAGTTGTTCTGCCGCCTGCCTCGAAAGCACAAGGTCCCAAGTTCGATCCCCGGTACCAAAACAAACAAAAAAATGAAACAAAACACTGGAGAGTGAGTTGGAAGGCCCAGGTGCATGGCTGGGGTTACTGAGGGCCCGGCTCTCTAAGGGTGATTGGCTGGAGGCAGCTTTCTTTCTGGGGGTCCCAGGTCTCAGGGTTCGTAGGTCATCTTTCTGGCACCATTTTGTTTCTCTAGCTAAGACTTTTTTTTTGATACTGGGGATTGAACTCAGACCCTTGCACTTGCGAGGCAGGCGGTGGCACTACCAAGCTACATCCCCGGCTAGCAAAGACTTTTAAATTTTTGTCCAGTACTAGGGATTGAACCCTCACACTAAGCTACATCCCCAGCCCTTTTTAGTTTTTGAGACACGATCTTGTTAAATTGCCCAGGTTAGGCTGGAACTTGTGATCCTCTGGGCTCAGCCTCCCAAAGTGCTGGGATGGCAGCTGTGTACCACCATGCTCGGTGTGTAGAGAAAGCTCTCAGCCTTCCTTAGCACTGAGGGCTGAGGGTGGAGATGGCAAGGCCGGGCTTGACTTCTGGGAGTTGGGAGATAAAGGCAGAAGGTCTTTCACTGAGCGAGGATTCTCGCTGTTCTCAGTAGAGAATGGTGCCTTCACCCCCACCCCCGCCATTTTGAGAGTCCCCCGGAGAGTCTCTGACTCAGTTTCCCCAGCTCCTGTGATGGGGGAGTGGTCCTTGTATAGTCTTTTAGCCAGTTCCTCTATGTCAGCCTCTGGCCTCCAGGGCACCAGGGCCCCCATTCCTGGGCCTCTGGGGTTCTGGGGCATATTTGGCCTGAATCTCCCCTGGCTCTTTCCTCTGCCAGCATTTAGCTGGCAGCTTCCTGCCTTCTCCTGCTCAGCTCCTGCCCTTCCGGGCCTATCTTTCCTCAGAACCCTGCCAACATCTCTCTTCCCTTCTCTTTGCTGTAGATGGCGTGTGCCTATTTTAAAATTCTTTTACCAGCATTATAGTGAGGCTTCGAGAGCGAAAAGAAATAAACACAGGTCAGTCTGCCATATTCAGGAAGAATTTCCAGTAATAGGTTCTCGACGTCCCTTGGACACCTACTACCCGCTTCAACAGAGAGCTCATTCACTCTCAGTGCCTTCGGCATTGGTAACATCCAACTAGAATTTGGGAACCTCTGTTTCCACGGGGTTTATTACTAACCCTTTATTTAGGACATGATGTTCTTTCTTCACTTGGGGTAGCGATGTAAAAATTCTTTTACAATTTTAGTTTAAAAAGACTAGTTGATTTATACAAAACAAGTAAGTGGTTTGAGGAGAGGCTGAAGTTTTGAAAGTGATGGGTTTAGGTGTGAAGTTTGGGAGACACCACACTATTTCTAAAAATCATCACAGGAGGAAATTTCAGATCTTCCCGCTTTGTCTTTCATGAGCTGAGAACTTCTGGTTGGGGAAGTTAGGCTCCCAGCAGGCTA